AAGGGGGAGGCGTGCGTTTATCAACGCCCCATCCAGGGCTGCTCAAATGAACGCTTGGCACAGAATGCTCTCAGTCGCAGTGTCACCAACCAAAACATCGACAGCAAGTGTCACAGCCCTCAAAGACATCTACACCGAGATGAATAGTTTGAATACTAGAATCACGTCCGACACAGTCCTTGGTCTTATTTTCCAATCGTCGGTCATGCGGTCCTCTGCACCTTTCAAGAAGGATTGAAAACTTTATCCAGAACAATCCGGCTAGAGCTACCCCACGTTTTGAGACGATTGTCAATAACTTCGATATCTGTCTGAAGCAGTGGGAGGACTATTCACAGTCCAGCACAAATATTCAGAGCCAAGCAACTAGCTCTATGTTGCTTACTTTGACTGAGGTTGACGAGTCCAACTTTGATGCTTTCCTAGCGGAGATACCTGAAGAAAACTGGCCGGAGGCTTTGGACTTCTATGCGGCTACGGAACATTGGTGCTGGAATTGTCGTGCCCCGGACCACTACCTGCGTGACTGTCCTCTCAGGGCAAAACTGAATCAACTGAACAAACATGCTTGAGGTCCCGGTGTCTCTCATTTCAATCATCAAGGACAGCACCAAAAGGCAACTTATGTTGGCTCCCTGTACACGCAACCATTGGGGCAAGCTGGCATCAATTTGACTAGCTCGACAAACCCCCCTTCCAAAACACAAAACTACGCTAGAAGATTGGCCGATCTGTACCGACCCCAATACCAGTCGACAAAATCCAGATATGGACTTGACAATGGTTTAACACCTTTGGCAGCAAAAGGGGGGGTTTTGGCTCAACTCATGGAAATTGGAAGTGTGCTGGATGATCTTGATGAGCTAGATTTCAGGACAATGAGTCTTGAGGAAGACATTGTGAGTGCCCCTGTTATTTTTGACACTGGTGCTTCTCACCATTTCTCTGGATCCGGTAATCTTCTTCATAATTTCCGAAATTTGTCTAAACCTTTGCCATTATTGGTAGCTACCAACACCAACCAGTACTTTATTACTGGGGTCGGAGACCTGAGGTTTAAAGCAGCCAACAAAAAAGTTGTGGCTATTAGGGGTGTCCTCTTCTGTGAGCAAGCGCGCTCTAACCTTATATCCATGGCTGCTTTACGGAACACTGATGCAACGGTCTCCTATGACAGCTCCAAAGATGTGTTCCGTATCTACAATAAACTTGGGCGACCAGCTTTTGACTTTACCCTGGACAAATCCAAAAACCAATGGTGTCTAAACTACCCGTTCCTCCGCAGTGATCTACCCGGCCCAAGACACAATTCTAATTTTCCTTCATTTAACTCTTTCTCGTCTTCTGTCTCATCTGTTCCCTCTGATATGACTTCTTCTTCTCCAACATGCTCTAACACTGACACCTTCTCATCTAAGACTAGTGTTTCCTATTCTATTCCTGATTCAACTGTTCCCTCTCCTGTTGACTCCACTGATTCTATATCAAAGTTTTCCATCAATGCCTCTGAAGTGAAATTCAACGGTGAAATTTTTTTCAAATAACCAATTGTCTCTGTCGATGGATGGAAATGGAAACCAGAATCTTTAACCAAAGATGAGAAAGTTCTACTTTTCTGGCATTGAGTGTTTGGGCATGCTGGACTCCGGAATTTATGTTGACTGATAAAAGAAAACCTGGGTCAAGGTCTTCCCTCAAAACTGCCGACTGGGTCTATCCACTGTCCGGTATGTGCAATAAGCAAAAGTACCGCACTCAACTTGGGGGGTTGATAAGCGTACACCAACCCCCATGGTGCACGCCAATCTGCATGCCATTGCAGAATGGCGTGCAGGCAGGCACGCCACTCGCCTGCAAGGGGTATACCCTGCACCTGCACACCCAATATGTGGTCCTAAACGCATATTTATATGCGTTTAGGACCTGGGCTGTCCCATAGGACCCAGGCATGGGTCCTATGGGACGGCCCCGCCATTGTTTTTTTTTTTTTTTTTTTCAAACCCCCTTGGCCTAGAGAGGCCGAGGTCACACTGCCGGGAGGAACCCCTCCCGGCAAGCCTGTGTACATGCCAGCTCGTCAGAAGGAATCCCTTCCGACGAGCTGGTACATAATCCAGCTCCTTGGAAGGGGTTCCTTCCGACGAGCTGGTATAAAAAGCAGCTCTCCGGGAGGAACCCCTCCCGACAAGCTGAAATATCATCCCAGCTTGTCGGGGAGGATTCCTCCTGAGAAGCAGCATTTATACCAGCTCGCCGGGAGAGGTTTCTCCGGGGGAGCGGTATCAAACT